ACTTTAATAAAGCTGTCTTCTAAAATGCAAGTTTATGATTATTCTGTAACACTAGGGTTTTTAAATCTTATTCCACCATTACCACCCCTTTGTTAAACAAAGCAGTGTGTTAGTATAAAAAATAACACTGGAGTACAAAAGTATGTGAGCTTTATAGACTGGACATTTTAAGTGGAGTTTCTGAAAAATTGAAAAAGCAAGTAGGATCAGTTTGAAGAAGCAAACCAGTGTCACAGGAAATGAGCACACAGGCTTCATGCTTGGAAGTGGCAGATACCAATAATGACCTCAGCACTCTGCTGCCCGCGCTGTACTAGACAGTAAGCAAAAAGGTAACTGCCTGGATTGAGCAGTGAACTTGGACTCTTGGGTCAGTTAAAAAAGGCATTAGATAGCTTGTAATACCTAGAAAGAATTGTGTTTTCCTAAATTATACCTTGAAATAAATAGGACTGATCCTCAGGGATATGCATAAGGATATTGTATCCTAAAAACAAAACCCAGGTCAGTAGAGGGGTTGATTGAATGACAGAACAGATACTGCTGGAGAGCAGATCAGTGTGCTGGAAGATCTAGTGAAGGGTGTCTCCTAAAATGAAGCACAAGGATAAACAGAAGGAAAATAAAAGTTTCAACATGTTTGATAGATACAGAATCCGTGTTTTTCTAATAGGTATTTAGGAGAGCATGAAGGGGAGGAACTCCTTTTAGAGCAGCAGTTTAATAGAGTAGTTTCTGAGAACTAAAGAAAAACAGATGCCTTTAAATTACTGAGGTGATTGTACTTAACTAAATTTTAAAAAGCCCCCACCTAGATACATAAGGAAGGAATATGCTAATGTCAAAGATAAAGTTCTAAAAGGGTCCAGACCTGGTAATGCTATGAATTAAATGGATTCATCTGACAGAATCAGCCTAACATTCCATTTCAGAAATCTCAGTTCTCTAGGGATAAGTTGTGCATCACAGAAAGTGCCTTGAGACACACAAGCCTTGATTTCTTTGTTAACCATCAGAGACAGTCACAACATTATTCATTGCCTTTCATTGTTCTATGGAAGCAGCTACCCTGTGTCCGAGGAAGATCCTTGCCCTCAAAGAACTTACATTTATTAGATAACTAATACATTATATGTCAAAAGGTGATGAGTTCTATGGAAAAGGAAAAGATATCCTTATCTAACAGGATAAGCAGAATCAGGAGTACAGTGATGAGGGCAGGAGTGAGGTCCAGCTTTAAACACGGTAATCAAGATAGGCCTCACTGAGAAGGGGACATTTAAGCAAAGACTTGAAGAAGGTGGGGGAGATAATTCAGATTCCTGTGAAAAGAAGGGATAGCCATGCAAAAGCTTTGAGAAGTGGGAATATATCTGCTTGATTCTGGGAACAACAAAGGAGTTTGTCTGGCCAACAGTGAAAAAGTGAGGAAGCAAGTCTTAGAAGATGAAGTCAGATCATGGAGTCAGACCACGGAGGTACTTCGGGGATGTTTGTTCTCAGGCTCTCTGGGATCAATGGCAGGGTTTGGATTAGATTTGGTTGTAGGAGAGAAATGATCTGAACTTGATTGTCTTTGTCCACAGGTAATATGTACTGTGGGTATTTAGTTACCCATCGTGACATATTTTCAGGAGTCTTACTGTCTTTTCACATTTTACAATTAGGTAATTTTTAAATACCCTTCATTTTCCTCAGGCTCTGTTGCTATTCCTTTCTTTCTATACCAGTTTTTCAATCAATTCAGTTTCTTTAGTTGGAAGTGGTAGAAGTCAGATTGGCTAACTTAAGCAAAAAAATTTATTGAAAAGAAAAATTGAATAATCAGACCTCCAGAAGTTCAGGAACCAAGGTATTCCATTACAGCTAACAAAATTGACATTGGAATGACTCCATTCCAATTAGGTTACTCCTCTGAAGATTTCTATTTCTGGTAGTTTTGCCTAATTTTAGTCACATACCCATTCCTTGGGCCTGAGGACTAGAGGAGGGAGTAGAACCTCTTCAAGGACTGTCCCACTGCTTTTGAGAATTTATCATATACATATATGTATGTTGTCTGTGCAGTGACTTGTGCAGGATTATTCGTTGCAGCATTCTGTTTGTAATAGCAACATGTCTACTAATATTTTAAGTGAACGGAAGTAAAATGTAGACATTGGGTATGGTATGTTTAAATGAGATTTACACATCAGATTTTTAATAAACGTGTGGAGTGTTTATTGTTTTGAAGCCTTTACTTTGACTGTTTTCACTTATCCAATCTTTTATGCCCCTTTTGTGTGCACTTGCTAAATTTTGGGATATAACTGAGGATTGTTTGTTAAGTGTTACCATGTATCCTGGTACTAAGATGACTTAACATCAATATACATTACATTTTTTGTGTGTGAGGAATTAGCCTCATTAGACGCTAAGTAGAATGGTTGTATTGTTTTGTTACAGAGCAAGTTCTAAATATTAGGTGACTGACTTTTTTCCCCCCTGTAGCTCAACAGAGCATTCCAAGAGGAGGACTCTCCAACTACTTTTTATTGCATCAGTATGCAGTGGTTTAGAGAATGGGAAAGTTTTGTGAAGGGTAAAGATGGAGGTGAGTGTTTAACTGAAAAATGAAATTCTTTGCAGATATTTTATTTGATGAATGTTATTTGAATTTCACTATGCACTTGGGATTACACTAGTGAACAAGATCCTGCCCTCTGGGAGCATACGTTCTAGTTTATAATTTGTGTTTTTTTATTATTATTTTATTTTGGTTGGGGGGAGTAATTAGGTTTATTTATTTTTAGAGGAGGTGCTGGGGATTGAACCCAGGACCTCGTGCATGCTAAGCGTGCACTCTACCGCTTGAGCTATACCCTCCCCTATAATTTTGTTATTTTTAATTTTTTAAAAACTTGCCATGAATTCTAGCATATTTGTAGAGGAACTGAATAGAATTAGTCTGCAGTCTTAACATTGAAAAATTAAAAGAAAAAAAATTCTTCCTACAATAAAATTGGTTAAATTATGGTTTATCCATTATCATGGGATACTATGTGGACTTTAAAAATAATTTGTGTGGCTGTTTAATAATTTAAAAATAAGATGTTCTTTTTTGTGTGGGTAGAGGAGGTAATTAGGTATGTATTTATTTTTATATATGTATCGAGAGAGAGAGAAAGAGAGGGAGAGAGGGGTACTGAGGATTGAACCCCAGACCTCATGCATGCTAAGCACCCACTCTACCACTATACTCTCCCCCCAAGATGTTCTAAGGTTGCAATACAGTATACGTAGTTTCAACGTCTTGTATTTAAAAAAAAAAAAAAGACATAGGCAAGAAAACCACAAAGATATTAAAACAGTTTGCCTATCTTTCTGTAGTGAGATAACAGTATTTTTTTTCTTCCTTACGCCTTCTATTTCTTGATGGTTTTTGAAAACATACACTATACTTTTGTATTCAAGGGGAAAACAAGGTTTTTTTCCTTAAATGAAAAAAGGATGTATTTTAATATTTCACTTGTAATGCTTTTATTGTTTTTAGTTTAATGATAAGCTGAACAAATCAAGAATTGCATAATTTCTTTTTAAATTACAAAGAAATTGTTATTTCCTAGTATTAAAAGTGCATTTTAAATCAGGGAGGGTATAACTCAGTGGTAGAGTGCATGCCCGGCATGGACAAGGCCCTGGGTTCAATCCCCAGCACCTCTATTAAAAATAAATAAATAAATAAATAAAAGCCTAATTAACTCTTCCCCCAAAACAAAAAAATAAAAAAGTACATTTTAACCTGTAAGCCTCAAATGGATAGTTAAGAAGTCATTTCTTTTTTCTTTTTTAAAAAAATTTGTATCTAGTTATTTATTTTTGTTAGGGACAGGTAATAGGTTTGTTTGTTTATTTATTTATTTTTTTTTACTGGGGATTGAACTCAGGACCTTGCGCATGCGAGGCATGCACTCTACCACTAAGCTGTACCCTCCCCCAGAAGTCATTTTTATTACGTTTTGGGTAGTAGTGAGAAAACCTCTCTCACCTTATTTCCTGGTTCTGTTTTGAGGGAAGTAAGACCCTAAAAGGAAGATGCTTAGAAGACAGTTAAAAATTGACTATAATAATCTGACTGAAAAATAATCTGACTATACATTTCCAGCCTTCAGCTATTTCAGGCACAGAAATGTGCAGTTCTTCGGTACACTTCTTTGAAAAGTATATATTTTGATGATTTGTTTTTCCTTTTGACTTAGATCCTCCAGGTCCTATTGATAACACTAAAATTGCAGTCACTAAATGTGGCAGTGTGATGCTCAGGCAAGGTAAGCCTTTACTTGTTAATGATCTGTCACTGTGAAGAATATATCATCACTAGCCATCTATATACCACTTTTTTTTTACCCATTTCAATGATGTCATTCATCCATGAAGTAGGACAAATACTGGAAAAGTTAACAATATTTAATTTTTATCTGAGGAAAGGTTTTAAGGCTGTTGATGGGAGCTAGGGAAAAGGATCTATAACTTTTCAATAAAGTTTCAACTTATAACAGTATGGGATGGTAGTCTGAAGATTCATGTTCCAAAAGCTCTCAGTTATTCCCAGAAGATTCATACTGGAGGGTACATTATGAAAGATTTTACAATATGAATATGTAGGTTTGTAAACAATGTTCTTTCTTTACATATACTTAATTTTAGGAGCAGATTCTGGTCAGATTTCTGAAGAAACATGGAGTTTTCTACAGTCTATATATGGTGGAGGGCCCGAAGTTATCCTGCGACCTCCGGTTGTACACATTGATCCTGATGTACTACAAACAGAAGAAAAAATTGAAGTAGAAACTCGGTCTTTGTAATTTTGAGGATATAGAGAGTTCTGATGAGAAATCATTTTCACTTCCCCTGACATACACACATGCAGAAACATTCCTAAAAGCATGTTTATTTTCTCGATTTTTAATACTTTATCTTTTATTCCTTCTTACTGGGCATTATGGAAGAATGTGTTAAAATGTATAATATTCTACAGGTTGGTATATTTAGTGCTAGATTACTTACCATAAAGTCTTTCAGTGTAATATTTTTGAAAGAGAAGGGGTAATTGTGATCATTTGGTAATCAGTAGGTTATCTTTGGTCTTTATACTACATGTACATCCATAGTATCCTTTGTAGCTTTGTAAATACTTTTGCTTTGAAAACTTTTTCATTACCCTGAACCACCATAACTGACCAATCTTTTCAGTTCTCCAAAAACCTAATTTAATTGTATAGTTTTGACATGGCTTCGTATAATAAAGAGCCTATTTTAAATTGAGAGTTGTAGTCAGGAAAATGTTGTTAATTTCCTCAAGCTCAGGAAACTGGTAGGGTGTCACTTTGCACTGCAGCATATAAACTAGCATATTAATATTTACAGAATGTCTTTTTGAATGTATCAAGGATGTATTTAGTCTGAGTGGAATTTGTGTCAGCAGACATCAGTAATTTATTGCCTCTCATACTGTAAAATGTTAAACTTCCTATAACCCTGGATAGTATTCATATTATCACTAAAAAATTTAGAGTAGGTTTTAGGGCACTTTTTATCTTGAGAGCATGCAATATAGAATGTGTCAATGAGATTGTTAATAAAGCTGAAGCCTCTTGCAGAATGATTTTTTAAATTAAATGCGTAAAAGTCTTTTTGAATATAATTGTATGCACTGCTATTTGCTTGATTATGTGATGTCAAAAGTTTAACTATATTCCAAGTATAAAAACAAACTGGATTACTTTGAGAATGTTAAATAGCATTCACAATGGCTTTGTTTTGGTTTGGGGCACTTGCCACCAGCTAAAACAGTGTTATTAGTTCAATAAAAATGATTTAAAAATGTATAACTTGGTTGTTGAATTTATTTAATAGATGTTAAGAGTGAAGGGTATAAAGTTTATTAATATTAATATCTTCTTGTTATTTCCTAGTCATAAGTATGCAAAATAAGAAGGCATTTGGTATAGTATGTAAAGTTTTGGTATTTAATGAAATTAAATAATCCATGATTAGAATCTATTTGAATTTTTAAAAAATATATAGTTTTTAGTTTTCTTCTTTCTCATGATTATACTATGATCCTCTCCAAGGATTGAATGATGTTATTGATCTATCTTGAATCACCAGAGCTTAGTGTAATGCCTGGCATTTAGGAGATAATCAAAATAGATTTGTTTTTAATAATGCTTGCCATTTATTAAATATTTATGGTGTTTCAGCCACTCTACTGAAGTGCTTTACTAACATTTAATCCTCATTGCAACCTGTGACTTAGGTCAAGTGGCTTGCCCAAAGTCATAAGCAAAGAAGTAGCAGGTATGGGACGCCAACTAAAGTCACTGTACCTTTATACTAGTGTTCTTAATCACTATGATATATTGTCTCATTGAATTCTTTTTAAAACATACTTGGTCATATTGTTGTATTCTGTATACCTAACATAATTGGCACTTGGTGGTGTAATCCCTTAGTCTCTTTCTCCCTTTCAAAATGTGTAATTTTTGAGGATGTATCTATGTAAGAGGGCTGCCAAAAATATTTATTCTGAGTTTAATCATTAAGGGGAGAAAATGAAGATAATTGTTCTAAAAAGGCACATTATATAAAACAGCTTTCCTGGACTCTTCAAAAAATTAGTGTTATGAGAGACAAAAAAGACTGATGAAGATTGAGAGAACATTACAACAAAATATAATGCGTAATCCTTGGTTGGATCCTGGATTGGAGGAAATAATTTATAAGGAGTGATACTGGGACAATTGGGGAAATTTGGATAGGGAGTATATATTACATAATAGTATTGTATCAGTGTTAAATTTCTTGAATGTGATAACTACTGTAGTAATATGAAAGAATAACCTTGGTAGGAAATACATGGTAAAGTTTTTAAGGTTGAAGTCATGCTATATGAAATAAACATGTGAGAGCTAAAGCAGGGAGAGGGAGTGCAGAGGTGGAAAGAGTTAATAATCAGTGAATCAAATCAAAGCCACAATGAGATACCACCTCACACCTGTCACCTCACACCTCACACTTTTGATGAGAATGGCTCTCATCAAAAAGAACAAATGTCGGCAAGGATGCGGAGAAAAGGGAACCCTCATAAGCTGTTGTTGGAAATGTAAACCGCTGCAGCCACTGTGGAAAACAGTATAGAGGTTTCTCAAAAAACTAAAAATAGAACTACCGTATGACCCAGCAATTCCACACCGGGGTATGTATCTGAAAAGAACAAAACACTAATTCAGAAAGATACATGCACCCCAATGTTCAGAGCAGCACTATTTACAATAGCCAAGATATGGAAGTAACTTAAGAGTCCATCAACAGATGAGTGGATAAAGATGTGGTATGTGTGTGTGTGTATATATACATACACACACTCACACACAGAATGGAATACTACTCAGCCGTAAAAAGAATGAAATTTTGCATGTGCAGCAACGTGGATGGACTTGGAGGGTATTACGCCAAGTGAAATAAGTCAGAGAAATGTAAATACTGTATAATATCACTATGTGATATCTAAAAAACACAACAAACTAGTGAATATAACAAGCAGACTTAAACATAGAGAACAGACTAGTGCTTATTGGTGGGGAAGGAAGGGGCGGGGTAATGTAGGGTTGGGAATGAAGAGGTAGAAACTATTAGGTAGAAAATAAACTACAACAATATGTTGTACAACAGGGAATATTGTCAGTATTTTATAATAACTACAAATGGAGTATAACCTTTAAAAATTGTGAATCCCTATATTATATATCTGTAACATAATATTGTACCTAACTATACTTTGATAAACAGTTAAGGAAAAAAATTGATGAATCTAGGTGAATGGTATAGGGATTCATTCTATTCTTAGAACTTCTATAGGGCTGAAAATTTTCAAAATAAAAAGGGGACAAAAAACAATTATTACCAACACTACACCTCCCCCACAACACACAACGCTTAAGAAGTTTAATCTCCCCTAATCCTCACATTAACTCCATTGCTCAGAAAGGTGTTGATTTTTGCATTGTAAAATTATGTATCTGGGTTAATTACAAAGTATTTATCCTAATACTCATATTCTGAATTATCACTAAACTACTTCTAGTTTTAAAATGTAGTTTAAGAAAGCATAGGATTTTAGAACCACTTAGAATCATTGAACTTAATAAGGCAAAATGGGAAAACTATATACCTTTACACGGTAATCATAAAATACTTATTTTTGCATCAGTTTAACTCCCACAGCTTGTGACATCTTTAGTGATCTTTTGTCAGTTCATTAGGATAGCATACTGCCAACACCAGCTCTTCTAAACCTTGCCCTTCTCTTGGCTGCAGTCAATTATCTTACTCCTCTTTTGCTAAAATTGAGGAGGTATAAGCTCTTATCTTCCTTCTGTTGCCACCTCTTAAAATTTGGCATCCTCTCTTTCTAGATTAGAAAAGAAGCCCTTCTAGTTCCCTCTCTGACTTCCTCTCTTCCCCCATGAATGAATTTATTCATTCACTGTACTTTTCATGCCCTTTCACTTCCCTCTGTACATTTTTTTAATCAAAAAAAAATTTAATTGAAGTATTGTTGATATACAATATTACAGATTATAGGTTATAAGTGTATCATATAGCGATTCACAATTTTTCAAGATTATAATTATTATAAAATATTGGCAATATTCCCTGTGTTGTACAATGTATTGTAGCTTATTTTATACCTAATAGTTTATACTTCTCAATCCCCAACCCTATATTGCCCCTCCCCCTTCCCTCTTCCAACCAATAACCACTCGTTTGTTCTCTATATTTGTGTCTACTTCTTTTTTGTGATATTCACTCATTTGTTGATTTCACAATAAGTGATATCATACAGTATTTGTCTTTCTCCATCTGACTTATTTCACTTAGCATAATACCCTCCAAGTCCATCCATGTTGCTGCAAATGGCAAAAATTCATTCTTTTTATGGCTGAGTAGTAGTCCATTTTGTGTGTGTGTGTGTGTGTGTGCGCGCACGTGTGCACGCACGTGTGCACATGCACATATACTTATACCTCAGCACACTTTAAAGGAAAGTATCCATCCATAGACTTTCTCCAACTTTCCCTCTTTACATGCACCTTCCCCTGCCTTTAAACTTGCTAAATCTTCCCCTAATGACAGGGAGAAGATAAGGGAAATTAATATAGTCTAGACCAATCTGCCCCATGGGCCATGCCTGTTTCTTCACTTCTCTTTTATTGACAAACTTCTTACTTGATTGGTCTATACTGTGTTACCAAACCAAACTTGGTCTGTTAGCATGGACTCAGTAAAGCCAATCTACTGACACTGGGCTGTGGTGAAGGAAAGTGCAGCATTTATTGTAAGGCGCCAGACAAGGAGTCCAGGGGAGCTACTGCTCAAAACACCCAAACTTCCTTGATGGCTTTCAAGAAGGCATTTTTATAGGCAAAATTTGCGGGGAGGGCTGCAGGGTATGTAACCCTCCTCTAATTGGTTGGTGGTGAGGTAACAGGGAGATGTTTCAGGAATCTCAATCATCAGCCTTCTGGTTCCAACGACTCTGAGGTCCAGTGCTCGTCCTCAGCCTAAAATTACTGTCCTCCACCTGGGTTCCCATAGAAGAACTCAGAGATTTGTATCAAATTGTTGTACATATCCTACTAGAAGGAACCGGGACACTGCCTTGAGGCTGCACTGTTGTTTCTTGGCTGCTCCTCCTTTGCTTCTGCATTCCTTCACTTCTCTGATTATCAACTGTTTGAATCTGCCCTTTGGAACTCTGGGAAAACCTACAAGGCTGAATGAGGCCTGTTTCCTACAAACCAGAAACCAGGGACACAAAAGGATTTGTACCTGCAAGGCCCCACAGTGTCCTGCTCGATTTCACCCTTTGCTTCCACTTCACTGTTCCGTTCTTTACTTTTCGAATCTATCTGGCTTTTACTGTTGCCACTCTGATCAAAAAATGTTTTTCCTCAAAAAAAAGCTTTTCCTCTTACATAACCTATTAACAACCATTACTATTTTCATAACAAATTTTGGAGTATCATATGTAGTTAATTATATCAGAAAAATGCAAATTCCTTGTATTTTGAAGCTACTACCTTAACTCTCAAAGGAAGATGATTGGTTTGAATACACTTATCATTTTGAAGGATTGTAAGTAAGGAGGTTAGGTAAGAAACTTTTCCTAGGGAAAAAAATGGGCTATAATTCAAGAGTATTTTATTAATAACACAACCACTAATAATCACTACTGATCTTGAGTCCTTAGCAAGGGTCAGGCACTGGGCTAAACGTGTTTACAAGCAGATTAATGTGCCTAGGTACATACAACTATCCAGTGTTTTAGAATTCAAATCCAGATCTGTCTGATTCCAAAACCTATGCTTCTCTTGGAAGTCACAAGTAAATTTCCAATTAGAAAATCCAGTGATTTTCTCAGTCACAACCTTATCCTGAAACTTCCCTCCTTAAAGTTGCATGGTGCTGCATTTTGTCAAATTTTTCCCTTCTGCATATCTGCCTACTGTGCCTTTTCTTTATTACTCTTATTCTGGATATTTAATGATAAATCTCTGTTTTCCTACCTTTGTAAATAC